CTTACCTTGAGAAAGGGACTTCTCCCCTCCTACATGTGATGTGATATTTTGCATTTTACACATACACTCATTCTGTACTGACTATTAAATGGCCATCACATTTCCTCTGTCTACCTCTGCTAAGCCTCTGGGTAAGCTCATGCYCCTCACAACATTCTCATTTTGCTGCTGGTCCCAGTGCCCTGAGAAGCAAGGAAAACAAGCAGTGTCTGGATACCTCTGCAATGCAAATGTCAGTCTGCAGATCCAGTCTAACAAAGAACTCTACTGAGCTCTGCAAAAGCTGTTCATTGATGTTTCCAAACTGTGCTCATAACAAGGGCTAAAAATTACCCTTCTAAAAGTGGGCTGAACAGTCTGTGGAAATCTAAGACTGCTAGCCACAAACCTCACAAATAAAGTTTCCTACTGGCTAGTGGCCTAAAAGCAAGCAATACCACAGCTTGGGGAATGAAAACTTGCACTGCAAATCAACAGATGTTAGGAACTCCAGTGATTACGACTCCTTCATTTCACTCCTGTCTGCTCTTAAAACCAGTTCCTAGATTACTCCATCCCTGCCCTCCTAACAGGAGGCTCAACTGGCTCCTTAGGTTTTCCAGCCTTCCCTTCCCTGTCAGGGTAAGTGGAGGGTATTCAGTTTTTTTGGTTTGCTCTTCCTGGCTCCCCCATCCACACTAGAAAGTAAAAAACAGCTCTGGCACACCATACTCCAGTTCTACCACTGCTGCTGGGGTTGGGAGCAGAGGCAGCTGAGCAGTTCCACACAAACTCTGGGCACACTCACAGTTTGCTCATTCTGCAATAGTGCTGTAAAGGGTCTTCCTCATAGGATACCAAGGCTTCACTTTTCCTTCAAGAACAAGGAATGGCCAACTTGGAATGCTGAAGAGCCAATCCACCTAARCAAAATGAACTCAAAAAGGATATGATATTTTAAAATGATAGGTACAGAACACAGCAAGAAACACTGCTGCTCAGTATTTTACCACATTCTGTACCTGAATTTTTTCAACCCATTTTTCAAAAGGTGGTGACACTGCATGTGACCCACATGTTCTCTATTTCTGCTTCACAACCCACACTAGCTAATACTGCCCATCACTTTATAACCTTTCTGTACAAACAGCAGCTGCCAATATCAGTGATTAATACACTAAACTGCAAAGTGAGAGCGGTTAAAAGGTGACTTATGAAGAAAATAACAGCCTGCACATTCTATGTTCCTCCAGACTTCAATACATATCAAATCAAGAAAAGCTGATTCTTTTATCCTTCTTCYACAGAAGAGCCTAAAGTAAGATTTAATGCTTTAGGAAATTCACACAACAAATAATAYGTAAGGAACTTTATTTTCATTTCCCTTGAAAGCTATGAATAGGTACAGAASCAACCATTCGTAAAATAGCAAAAGTAGAAGAAACTGGATTAAAGGGGAAGTTTGGAGGGTTTTTATTCTGCTACAAAGCTTCTGGTATTTTAAGTAACTACTAGAAAACTGAAATCCTGAAAAAGGGAAAAATCGATACATACAGTTACCCCATAAATTAGTTTCCYAATAATATTAACTAGCTTACCTATAAAGCCAGAGAAATTGATGAAAAAAATTATTCAAATTAATGACAAATTACATRTCATAAGCTTGAAAAACTAAACTCCTCTTCAACACACAGTGCACACTTCAACTGATTTAGTTAAAACAGTGCAAACATCTATAGGGAAACTGTCTGTAAAAAAAAGGTATTTCAAGTAATCTTGAACCCATTCCTAAAATGCATTTAACCAGAGAGCCACAGAAGAGTATTTCACATCATACACAAAGCAAAAGCAACCYTTCATGCTTGTAAATAAAATAATGTTCATGTACTAAGACAAAGATCCTGTGCTACAGCTCAAGCTACACTGTGGAGGGGAAAAAAAACCCCAAACCAAAGAGCCTTTCCTCAAAAGTCCATTTGAGTCAATGTCATGGTGGTCTTGCAAGTTTTATCTTCAAGTGAATCATCTGAGTGCATTCTCTTCCAGGCCAGTGTACTTGAATCAACACCCAGGAGCACATGAAGTAATGCACAGGAAGAAAATCACAAATCAGCCAAAGCAGGCTTATGAGAACTTTTCCAAACCTTGGGAAGACAAACCTTTACCAAGGAACACTAACCACAGCACACCCAAAAACTAACAAAGAAAACAAGCCCCTGATAAAAGCGCTAATGGCACAAATAAGCTATCATAACAGATTCTATCCAAAAATGAACACCTAAGGAAGAAAGCAGCCATTTAAAATCTTCTAAAACTGCCTATGCCTGTAAGCTATAAAAGTCTTGAGGAGGTGGTGAAGGAGAAGYATCTCAAGCACTTCCCTCTTCGAAGGAGACACATCACCACCTCACCTCCTCTATTTCCCTCCTCACTGAGGCAACTCCTGTGTAATTGCTAAAGCCATTATTTAGCAGCACACRCAGCACAATACCCACACAATGTCTTGTCAATCACTTGGTCTAGCCAAAGCACTGTAACTCACCTATTTCCCCATCTGTTTACAACTTAGGTACTTGCGATTCTTCGGTCAGCTTTCAGGTTTTAGTGTCCCAACTACAAACTCTGCAGCTGCTCCCATGGGCACCTCCCCAACTGGTAAATGGTTGCAGAGAGAACTTTTCTTTCTACTTTTGAACAGGGAGGGATAGGGACACTGGTCAACTCATAAGACTCAGGGGTTGATTCATACATCCCACAAGCAGGAGAGGTCTTCTAAAGCCAATATAACCCTCAGGGAGACCTGAGACTTAGCCACCTTTAATTCTGCTGCTTTAATAAAGGCCACAAGCCTGAAGAGTAACTTAATGGACTGCTTCAGTTCAGCAGAGACAGATGAGTTAAAGAAGCAAGTAGTATATCAGGTTGGGGGGAAAAAAGGGAAGTAGATTTATACTAGTGAAATGAAAAACAAAGCTACAGCTGGTGAAATCTWACATGTGGAAGGAAGATTATTTTAGTTTCAGAAATACCACATCTGAGACCTASTCAGATAAGAGCATTGCATGTCGATGGGTAGGAAACCCTGCTCCATGCACATTTCCTTTTTCTTCAACACATCTCTGAATTTAMTTCTTTCAGTTTGGGAGTAACTATTCTAGTACCATGGCATTCTTCAGAAGAAATGTTACATATATTTTTAGATGTAACGTTTTCACGCAGTTCAGCTGCAATAGAATTACCATGTTCAAACAAGTAATCTCATCCCACTGCATAGTTCATTATTTTCTTCAGACTTCTGCAACCACACTATATGCAAAAATTGCTCAGCACAATGTGAGTGAAGAAAGAGTCAAAAACTGAAGAAAAATGTATAGAAAGTTTCAGCTGATTAACAACACGACAGGAATCTCAATAGATCAGCTGCTCATCTCCCTGGAAATTTAGGTTGAGAAAGGACAGCAAGCTGTGATCCCATAGCTTGTTCTAACTAAAATAGAAACACCACCCCCACTGTCAAATAGTAATCCAAACACTTAAAAAAAAAANAAAAAAAAAAGAAAAAAAAAGGCAGGAGACATAAAACTTCCAGGGTTTGTTTCTTTCCTAAAATACAAATAATGGATTTGCATAGCTTAAGGCAGATTCTACCCACAGAGCTATTGTTCCCTCCCCGAGGCCTTCGGCATTTCCAAGGGGCAGTCCCCTTTCGGTACCCTCGCTATCCTTTATCCGAAGCTGCCCGACCGGCAGCCATGGCAAGACGGTGGGATTACCCGACCCAAGCAATTCAGCAGAAACCACAAATCACYGCAATTTTACTTACGGGCCGCCGCCAGGTCCTTCGGGAGGCTCCCTCTGCGCCGGGCTGTCCTGTCCGCATAAGCTCACCTTSCCCCAGCCCCGGAGCTCCGGGCCCCGCCGCCCCTTATCCCGCCACCCCCATCCCCGCTCCCGCGCTCCCCTCCCGCCGGCGCGCCCGCCCGCCCGCCGCGACTCACCGCCCGCGGGGGGCCCCGAGGCGGCTCCGTACGCCCTCCCGGCCTGCGAGCACGGCTGCTCCGGGAGGCCGGGGAAAAGCTGGCAGCTCCCCGGCCCCGCGCTCACCAGCAGCGGCCGGAGAAACGCGGGCGGCCCCTTCCCTCCCGCACGGCCCCCCGGAGCCGCCTACCTGTGTGTGCGGAGGCGCCCGGCCGCCCGCCGGACCCTCCCGCGCTCCCCGCGGCCGCCGCCGCCCGCCGGGGGCGACACCCGGCCCCGCATGCGGCCCCGGGCAGCGCCTCAGCCGGGTCTCTCCCCCGGCCCCCAGCGCCAGCCGCCCGCCTGCGGCATTAGGCGCATCCAAGCGCCGCCGGGAAGGCGGGGGGCGGCGGCACTTGGGTTTCCGTCGGGCTCATCCCCACTGGGAACCGGCTCCCAGCTACGTCGCGGTGTCAAGATTTTTTTYCCCCGGAAAGTTCCCAGGAACCTCTGGGAGAGGTCTGGGACGTCTCATCTCACCAGCTMGCAAAGCCGACTAAAATTGTGCTCTCTTCAAAGGAGGCTTGTAGAGGCAGGCTCCATATGCCTCTAGAAATTCAGTTTAATTCCTTGAATGCTTTCACCGAGCAACACGCTGATATATTGGAATAGCCAGCTCTGCCTCTGAATACGCGGTAATTTACATTCARTAGCAATATTGTCGGTAGCTGGTGCCATCAGCATTCACCTGAAGATCTTAAAATTGGAAGCATGCGTCTAAGTGAGGTTAAAGCTAGAAGCTTTCCTGTCTAAAATGACACAAGAGCCCGATGCGAAGATCATGGAACGGTTAAGATTGGGAAAGACCCCCGAGATCCATCGTGTTCAACCTTGGAAGTTCTCCCGACAACCATCAGATATCCCGCGGCAGAGACGMCGCTAACTCGGGAACAAGCACTTCCAGCGCACCCAGTCCTGTAAGTTCAGGCACCATTCACAAGATCCTCTCAGCCTGTGCAAGGRTTTACAGAGCTACACTTGATAAAGCAGGGGTGTTCACTTACCGGTTGTCAACGGAGCAGCTTATTTTATCTTTGAATCATCCTAGAGAAGAAGACAACTCGTCGCTTCTGCTCAGGGCCGCCCAAGCTGTTGCTGCAGCCTCTGGCAACTCCAGCCCAGCTCCCGCATGGTGGTGCTTACGACAGTTTAAGAGGAGGGCTTGTTCAGCTGAGCCCCATCTGCAAGAGAAAACGCAGAAGGAAGCACGTTGTGTGTTTGGACAGAAATGCAATTTGGCTCGAGCCTGCTGAAATTCCTCCTCCGTTTATACCAAAGCCTACCAGGGGGAGGAGAGACTCACGTGGAGATAAAGCGGTGCTACCTCCTCCTCTCAGTGGTGAATCTGTGTGTTCTGAGCGGCTTCCCCGCGGAGCCGCAGCCGCAGGGGGTGTTCTTCTCCCTCCTTCTCTTTCCCCCTCCCCGGGCCGGTGCCAGGAGCCTTTCCCCAGCCCCCACAGCCCGACAGGGGGTGGGAGACCCGCAAKCCGGGGGGCAGCGAACCCTCCCCTACCTCCAGGAATTACTGTCTCGTTATGAAACCAACAGCGTGTGCGTGTCGTGGGGGTTGGTGAAGTGAGCCAACCAACCCGAAAGCCCCTGCACTTAGTTCATGGGCAGGATTCTCCCTTCCCAAGTACGTTTGCCCCCTGCCGTGACATTCCAGGAAAATCCTTCAAGGGCAGAAGTACCTCCTGAAGAGCTGCTGTCAGGAGMTGAATGAAGCCGCACCCAATGCTGGCGGGAGTCATGAAGCTCCTGGAAAATTTTCTCTCCGTACCTCAGCACGCAACCGCTTGGGRCTGGACCTTGCTATTTAAAAAGAAAGTTAGTAAATAATTCTGCCTCTGAAAAAGAGAATGAAAAAAAAGAGTTTAGTTGGAATCCTGTCCTGTATCAATGYTGTATTGTGGCCAGAGAAATGTATCGTGCTAGAAGAAAACTAAGAGTTTCTTAATAATTTAATTGTCCCCTCCTGTTTCTATCTTTATGATCCTGACCACTTCCAATCTGAAAATTTTCTAAATGATGCTTCAGTTACCTCAGAGTATGTTTTTAGCATTGTGTCAGAACAAGATTCTTCCTTTATTGGAAGAAAACCTCTTGTTTTTTGATGGCTATCACCAGAAATKACCAGAGGTGGATTCTGTTCTCAGCAGCAGTTTTCTACAGCCTATGTGTACATGTAAGAAAAATAACAGATTGAAAGCTGGGAAATTTTGTCTATTCTTCAGGGACTACCGTAGTCTTTAGCCTGCTGAGATGACTTTTCATTGTGTTCTGGGCTGGGAACCAAAYCTCAGTCCTCTGTAATTTGTCTTCCCTCGAGTAGAAAATACCTTAGTATTTTTCCCGTTCTCCCATGAGGTTCCTCAGGTCTTCACCCTTCACATCCTGCCCTTTACAAGACCCAAGACCAAGCTTCTTCCAAGTATATAGCAAAATTATCTGCCTTCTAAAGTTAGTTTATTTAACTCTGCTGTATCTTTTTCCCATTATCTGTCAGCTCTTCAGTCCTTATCCCTCAATTCACATASGTATCATAGGCACATAACCAAATAAAAAATAATCATTAAGGTTGCATAACAAAGGAGTCAGAAGTTAGGGTATACTAGAAGACTGATTTTGTGACTTCATGACAGTCCCCTTGCTCATATGTTTTAGTACAGTCTTAAATTACRTAGTCCAGTATTATTTTGTTCTGGCCTTGCTTTATTTTGTAAGGCCTTGTATTTCTTTAGGATACAGGATGGACTTTCAGGATGTGCCAGTTTTTGCAGAACAAGATGTTGGGACTATTCACCACAGATGAGTGTAGGAAACCTTGAGGAAATGGATGCTGTTCCTGCCTCTGTTGCTGACAGGATGTATGTGCTGCAGCTGCATCTTTTGTGCATGAGTTCATGAATGTGAGGTAATTTCACACTGGCTAAGGTGGGTAYTGGTAACAGTCTGGCAAGGATCTCTGGACAGGCTGAAGAACATGGGGAAGAACACGAATGTGCTGTAGGTGGGGCTGAGCCACAGCTCAGAAGCCAACTCGAGTTACTGGTGCACCACTGAAGCCAGTTAGATACATGCAATGCTAATTTCTGTGCTGGTGCCATGTGCTGACTTAGAAATCATTTGATTTTACAGCCGGCTGAGTCACATGYTTGTCAATTTTCTGGGACTCTTACATGAGGCATCTAATTCTAGGAAGAGCTGGGCATTCACGATTGYGGCCCCAAATCCATAGGAGATACAATGCTCTGAACAGAGAATCTGTTTGCTCAGAGTTTTATTCCCTTCCTTGAAAGKCAGTGTGTGTAAGAAACACAAAGAATTGCATCTAAAATAGCTGAACACATCTTTCTCTGAAGTAAAATGCACTACATTGGTCAAGTAATGTAATAATGTAATTTGCAGCAATGTAATTTCAMTTTGATATATTTTGGCAATTGTAGCTATCCCACACCAGCAACGGAACAAAAGCTGGTGTCCTCTAAATATGTTGAACTAAATTCAAGGATTCAAATGGCAATTTGAACAATTGATACAGTGCAAAAAAAAGTTTCGTTTGTTTTCCAAATGGTCTGTACAAGCATAACTTAGTAACTAATCTGCAACACCAATGAATTTGTTGGGCACAAAGTACAAGGAAAATATAAGGAAWCGTTGGAATATAGTCTGTTACAAACAAATTATTTGACAACAATAAGAATCTTTCTAAATGCTTTCAAAATGGATGATTAGCAGGAAGTCAAATGAATGCTCCTGCAAGCAAGTACAATGCATGGGACCAAAAAGTCAACAGATTTGCTCTTTCAGTTGAAAATCAACTCTCCTGAGACACAAAGATTTCCACAAACCAAACACAAAAGCTCTATAAACATTTAAATGTAAAGAAATAACTAAAATTATTCTGAATAAAATGCTGTCATATTTTAGTTCCAGGATAAACAGTGTACCTGCTGAGTCATTACTAAACTAAGAAAACGTTGTGGTCTCTGTGCCTTGCAAAATCAGAGAAAAATAAAGATGAAAACTACAGGAAATTGAAGAAAACTGTTGAACACAGGGAAATCAAAACTGGAGAGAACAAGGAATAAAGAGAATGGAAAGTTGCGGCATCACAAAAGTGATTTCCCAATCAATCCAATAAGAAAATGACTAATCAAGCTGTGTGTAGGCAATGTACCATATCTCTCATACACTTCTGGTCTTAGAACTAAAATGCAACAGAACTGTCACCCTTCATTAATTACTTTGGGAGATGAATGCATTTATAGAAATACAGAATGTCACAAGATCCTTGTGGGTCCTCTTCAGCTCAGAATATCCTATGATCCTTTCTCCACTCAATTTCTAGCTTTACTACTACCTTCACAGACTGATCCTAATCTYTATGTCACACCATGAGAACTGCCCTGTCTCCCACACATGCCCAAATCTCTGCTACTGAGCTCCAAAACCTATGTCAGCACAAATCTGTTTTGTGGAGCTTCTCAATCCCCTTGCTCAGGTGCTCAGGGCTGCCCCCCCTTACTGCTTACTTTAACAGTTCCAGCTGTAGTAAGCACCAGTCCTCACATAGTTTTAGTCACCAGTTCGTGGTTACATGATATTTCTTCCAGAGACTCTTTGCCAGGAGACAACTTGCCGAAGCCTGTCCTAGGAGTTTTAAAAAATCTGGTTAGTGGTTGTAGCACATCTCATCAGAACTCATAGTGTTAGCCATGAGTTCACAACATGCAACCCCCAGCTAGTTTGAGGTCAGCTTTTCAAGACCTGGTCAACCAAAGAACTTAGGCTTTCTCAGTCCCCAGGGCCTGCCTTTTCTGGGAGTTGCTGAGTGCTTTCTCCTGTKTGCAATGCTCTTTTACACCATCTGGGAGACAGGACACCAACAAACAAAACATGATGACAGGAAATGCAATGAAGGTGATCCAGGTAGGCTGAGATTCCAGTAAATGCGGTCTAGAGTGGTGAGCACATTAGGAAGTGCTATTTGCCAACSAAAGTGAAGCCCTAATGTATGTATTTATATGTGAACATCTACAAACTCATAAACAAATACATTATTTAATAGGCTCTAAGCATTCTTTGATTTCATTAGGCATATGCAGAGGAAGAAACAGGTCAAAGCACACCCACTTGAAGAGCATTGCAGATAAAACAGTGGGAAGGAAAAGGGAAAAGGCTTTGAAAAAATTCAGAAAATGTGTCCTGAGCAGCTTGTGGTTTTCACCAGGTCAAGAGCAACATTACACCTCAGATTTCACCCCACTAGTTGATCCCTTGTTTCTATTTAATTATCCTATCATATGGAACTCAAGTTCTCCACTTGTCCCTTCATCCTCCCATGTGGATGGGAAGATGTCAGTGTGCCATATGACTCCACCTCTATGTGTATCCAAGAGTAACCCAGACTGAAGCTTCATAGCACTGAAAGCAGCAAGGCAGGCAAGAGCTGCTGCTTCCTCCCCTGGCAAGAGACAAACCTCCCAAGATCCAGGTCTCCCACCCATCTGCCTGGGACACAACAGTCTGCTCCTGTAGCTCATAGGCTTGCAGTGCACTGCTSTTCCCAGAGGATGTCAGAGGATGTGACATCTGGCACAAGGGAAGACTAGGAAAAGGAGAGAGGTGGGGGGTGCATGGGAGAGAGTAACCAGTTGAGGGGTGGCAGGGTGGTGGGAGACCCTTATTTGTAGTCTGCTCCTAGGTGCCAAATGCAGGAGGGCTCTGAGCTCAGAGAGAACAAGAAGTCCTTGATCCTGGGTCCATACCCACTTGGCCTTGTGTGCTTGGCCTTATGTGGGATGACTCACATAAGCTGCATCTGGAAGATGAAATACTTGCTCTTTTATGATGGCTCTGTCAGTTCTACAGTACTGTGGCAGGACCCAGCTTAATGCCCAGTTTCTTTCTCTGTGCATTTTATGAAAAATACTTCACTGTTTTCCCCACTGGCTCCCCACAGCACAGCCTCTGACTCTGGCCTGCAGATCCCCACGTTTTTGTCCTGTGTCCCATTGGGTTCACCTGCACAGCCAAGTCATTATTACAAGTGGTCAGGCAGCTACTGCAGCTCTCAGATATACAACCTTCTCATTTCAAACTTCTGGCCCACTTCTTTGGCCAGTGTTCTCTGGCCTGGATTCCTTTCCTGGTTTGCTGCCAAAGATCTGGGAACAGGTGCACAGTTTTTCTGCCAGGTACTCTTCAGACTGGATCTTTACTTGAAAATATGGTGTAGCAAGTCAGTGCACAAAACAGGGCTAWAAAAGTAATACAAATAGCTATGACTAGATTGCAGAGAGAAGGAGGGTGAGAAGTTAGGTGAGCCACTGYAAGTCAGAAATGTTATGAAAAACTGCTAAAAGCCTTGCCATGTGTGAACAGTGAGCTAATTTCAATGAGACAGGCACAGGTTCAGAAGAAGAGTGCTTTGCAAACTTCTTACATTTAAGACTTAAGTTGCACTCAAAGTCTTGGATATMGGTAAAATGTTAGAAAATTTTAAATGCATTTCTTCCCATGACTGACTTAYCTGCTTACAACTCTTGCTAGTTAGTGGCCATGGCTAATGAGCAAATGGTCACTTGCCACAGATTGGAAGACTTAGTAGGAACCCACACAAAACCTGGGTGCTGGTGGCACCCTTCACAGCACTCCAAGCTGAACAGAGAAGCCCTATGGCAGAAAAGACTGGCTTGGTCCGTAATTCAGAAAAACATGCATTAGACTTTTCTCTTTTACTGCTCTGCTCCTGTTCCAAATGGAAGCTTGACCTGATCCATGTATGATCATTAGGCCAATATTTAAGCCATGTGCAATCTTAGTACAATACTTCTATTTCAATGTTTAGCCATTTTATCCGTGCAAGTGGAAAATTTCAAGTGATCTTTGCAATTTATTAAAAGCCATCTGTCAGTTAACTCACCATCATTTAACACATCATAAAATTCCTCATTGTAAGGAAACAGGAAGCTCCACTTCCAGCAGCCCAAGCCACCTGCTCACAGTCTCTGGGGAGTTGTTTTTGATTTGGACGCACCATTGAAACCTGGYCTTTCTTGTCTGCAACTAAAATATAATGGTGCAAGAAGAGGTCTGTCAGTGAAGTGTTATTGTAGAAACTACTGGGAATTGTGCCATGGCCAACTTTAACTTCCCAGATACTATTTGGGAAACAAATGCTTCTAATAATAAACAGATAGTCATGTGTGTGATAGCTGCCAGGTTCTTTCTCAGTAGTCACTGAGGCAAAAAGAGACAACCCCAAATTAGTAAGTAATGAAGACACTAACAAAGAGCTGGTCATAGAAAACTCTGTTGGGCTGAGTACTCAGCAACTGTTTCTATTTCCATGGACAGAAGAGCAGACACATGCAAAGGGAAAGCTGTCAACCCACAAGCAAATTTACCTGGACTAAAAGCTGGTAGACTTGAGTATAGAGGGAGATTGGAAGGTATCTAGATCAGAGATATAAAAACTGTTGCAATGTATACCTTCCCAGCAAKAAAAAATCTTACTGGTTAACACTTCAAGCCTGGATCAGTGGGGAAATACACACTACAGAGAGGTTCTCAAGAGTTAGAAATAGTAAATAATCCTGGTCARCAAAGCCAGTTATGTAGAAATAGATTCACACAGGATTCAGGCCAGATTCATCAAAAGTCAAATAAGCTAGAACATGCAAAAGATGACTGAAGTAAATAACGTATAAATCTTCAACCACTCAAAGAAAAGGAGAACATGCTTTAGTATTTCTCTAGTAGAGGCAGGGAAGCACTAATGCAAGTGTACAAAACTCTCCAGTGCTCCCCCCAGAACACAACGTATGRTTTGTGCTCTCACACTCGAGAAGAAAGCAGTTCTGGAGAAGATGCAGAGAAGAGTTACACCGAGAATGGACAGTCTGTCTTGTGAGAGCAGCTAAACACTCCCCAGAGGCTGTGGAACTGAGGATCTCAATGAGTAAATCAGSAGGAGTTCAATCAGGATCCCAGGGGAGAAGTGCCTCTTGGCTTTGATTTAAACTGTATTTATTAAAGTTCACTCACAACTATAGCAGTAGATGAGGAAAAGTAAGCAGTCTGCTTSCAGTGTCTTGGCCTGCAGTCAGCCTCTTTAGCTATGGGGGAAAATGGCCATGATACAATAGTGTCAAAAAACCAAAACAAACCTCAAACTTGCTCATATATACACTACAATTTTTCTGCTATTTAGTTGAGAGGCCCAACTGCATCTAAAGCTTTATCTTGCTACATGTGTTGTTACAAAACACAATATCATCAATTGTCAAGAAAAAATCTGCCAAAAATTTATTATGCAAAAAGCAAAAGACCCAAATTATCAGAAGTAATACTACAGTTTTAGAATAATGACATTTGTTTGGTAAGTTTGTCTGTTTTACCTGCCCTTCTGTTGCCTACTAGCAAATCTTGATTCTGTAAGTTTGCTAATTTGTAATTACTTTCAATAGTTACTTGTAATTAATTGCAGCAATTTTATATGAAAATTTACAGGTGAATTTGCAGCATATTGGTTCAAAATTCATTTTAGTTGGCTCATATGAATGTAATCACTAAAGAACAAACTAACAACAACCCCCCCCCAAAAAAAAACAAGAGAAGCAAGCCCATTAATTAGTTAGACTTTGCTCAAAAATCGACCTTGACTGTTTAGAATACTGTAATATTTGCAGAGATAACTTGGGATAGCATGAACAATGTTTTGTGGTATGCAGTTGGGCATGGGTACTGCTGGAGTGGGGAGGTGCCAAGAGGGAGTTCACAAATTGGAAACAGGGAAGGACAATACTCAGATTTTCAAGAGCTGCCAAGCATTTGTAGGAAGAAAGCATTGCTAGGGTCCTACCAAGTGTTTGTCACACTCCCTAAAGTCCTGGAAGGAAATACTTGAAATACACTGTTAATGTAAACACGTACAAAACCAGTCCAAGTTTTCACTGTTTGAGTTACTCAATGAGCGTAAAGTTGCACTAATGATCCCTACAAATGAAAACACCTTCAGAAAACAAGAGTGGTGTGGTCTGTGCCATTTGACCCAGCTGGCTGCGAATACCAATGGTTGGAGTCCATAAACACCATCTCCAGAACAACCAGCAGCTTTTAGAGTGCTTCTTGTCACGTGTCCCCACAAATACATCAAGAAAGAAGGAACCACAATGAACTGAAAAAAAAAAAAAAAAAAGAGAGATAGTTTGTTTCTCTCTTGCAGCCTTGGTGACGTGGCTGACCAGGACAGTTTCACAACCCAGGTATTTCTGTTCGAGCTCTGATCTCCCAGTAATGTCCATAGCAGATGGCTGATCAACACTACTGAATAGCCAAGGTTTAAAGGAACTAACAGAGGCAAAACTTAATAGTCCTGGGTATTAACATTCACCCATGGAGTGGAAACTCTGAAGATTTCTACATAGGAAGTGGTCACCTTTAAGAAAGAGTTAAGCAATCTGAAAAAGCCTTAAGCTCTTCTTGATCTGATTCATCTACTGGATCATGCTTTAGCTCTCTGTAATAAAACCACAGTCAAGGGACCCAGTCAATTACACATGTAAGGAACCACACACATAGACTCATTATTTTCTCTCCTCCCTTCATTATGGCCAATTTGGGTTTTAAATCAGATCTCTTGGTGGAGCTGATATGACACAAATTTTTCAACAGAAGAAAAAATGAACAGAGAAGTCTAGTAAAGCTATTCTAGCTACTCTACAAGTGAAGAGCTGCTGCACTCACTAGGCACCAATGTTTTTACATTTGTAACTTCTATATTTACTCATACATGAGCTGCAATCTACCTCTTATCTTTGACAACTGTTTTCTATGTGGATGGATGCCTTTTCAGTAGTTTTGTTCTCTTTCACATTTTTTTGCAAAGCTCCCTCCTTTCTGTTTTGCACTAAAGAATGCCCATTCCCATACTTTAGTTTTTCTCAAGTATCTTATCATTTTGTATCCTGTTTTTTTTTTCCTCCCTGTGAAAGAAATAACATATGCACAAAAGGCTTCTCTTCTTTGTCAGTCTTCTTTTCACCACCCACACCCCTGATMTCTGTCCAGCGCTTGAGCTTGAACTTGGAAAGAACCTCTCCAGATCCCAGGATCTGCCCTCCAAAAAAGCCCATTGATACAAATGAGAAAAATACTCTCAAGAACTCTGAAAATGCTTTTGTTTTATGATATAGAATCTGTGAGCCTGATCTAAACTACTGAAAGCCACTGAAATGCTTACTCTGAATTGGACTAAAAGTTAGGTTTTACGAAAGGGAACAAAATAAGAAGCTTTGCATAGACCAACTCTTCAGTAAGCAAGCAGAAAGCTTGGGTTGCTGCACCCCTCTCTAAACAGTTCTTGATGGAAGAAAGGGGGGTGGGCTGGGGGTGGGGGTGGAAAAGGAAGAGAACTTATTTTGAGGTAGCTAGCTGTTCCCAAAACCAGTGACTGAGAAGGAGATCTGTCTTTGCACAATTGTCCTAATCCATTATTGTTGTTGCTGGCATTTTTTCCATTTTAATCAACGTAACTTTCCTCATGGCTTAAATGGGAAAAGATTAATTCTTTATATATTTATTTACCTTCTAGAATCTCAACGATGATCCTCATGCTTTATAGAAGAGGACAGCTGGCCAAACTTTGTATCGACCCACTCACTCTCTTTACTCTGCTTGGTTGTACTGATGTAGCTAAAGTAGGATGACAATCTGAAATTAAATTAACAGACAATAGACTGAATTAGTTKCAGCTGTTTATGACTTAGGAAAAACACTCACAAATGGTTCTTGCATTGATTAAAATGAATGGATTAAATCAAGCTAATGCAACTGTCTTGATCGTCCTCCTCTCAATTTTTCAATCCTGCATTAAAGATGGGCCATGACATTGGCTCTTTCCTGGAAAAATGCAGATAAAACAACTGTCTCAGAAGACTTTTCTAATTAGAGTGCAGGTGGTGATAGTCTGAAAAAAGATCACAAGGTGGAATGCAAAGAGATAGAAGGCATGAAAACTCTTATACTTAAGCCTAATACTCCTTGCTGAAGCCTGCTTTTGTGTCATTTCATTAATTGGAATTATGCACTTGCTGTACTATGTCAACCAGGCTGCTGGTGAAAATATTGAATGATGTTTCCTTCAGATTTAGGTACTTTCCAGTCTGTCTGCGTCAGTAAAAGCTGAATAATGGCACAGCTAGAAGAAGGACAACTGGGTGAATTTAACATGTCTGGGTTAAAGTAATTTTCCACTTGAGACCTCACAGTATTATAATAAACACAGTGCAACACAAATAAATACATGGTTCTACACAGTTTTTCTGTCCCACCCTGTGGTTTCACATATTGCCATATATGATGCCATGGCCATGTGCATGCAGTACATACCAACAAACCTGGGTTAATGTACACTAATGAGGTACCTGACCTGGTAGGAGTAGGAAAAACAGAGTGAACATAGGTGGAATGAAAGAAAAACACAGTGATAGGGACACAGCAAAGGAAGAAAAATATGACAGGAGGAGAATGTGCATGARCTGACAAGTTAATAGAAGAATAAGAATGAATTAAGAGAGGAAAACAGTAAGATACCCCAGAATTTCTCCAGTAATAATACTTGAATGACTATAAAAATACTAAACACATCACCCAAATGATTATTAGGGCCAGAATTATCAGTCCAATTTGCAGACCTATACAATTCACTTTTCACTTGTGGGAAAGCCTGGGATACAGGCTGCTTTCTGCTGGCATTAGAAACAACATGGCTACCTGCTGCTTATTATTGTAGGGATCAGATTATACCACATGGGCTCTGCACCCCATAAGTTCCCTACATCACTGCAGATTGCTTATATGATCTGACTTTATACAGCAATGCATGGGCCAAGATTAGGGAATGTCTTGGAGCATGCACATCCTCAGGCTTAGCCCTGAATCCTACTTTCCAAAAGGGAGARCTGAGCCCTATAGATCTCAACACATGCATACACAGCCACAGACTGATTATGAATTAGTCACAGAGGCTCAAGAATCAAACAGTCACCTCTCTCTTGCTCTCTTCTCTCCCGCATACATATTTTGTACATATGAATAAATTGTGAAAAGTGGCCGGAACGTCTTGCATTCTAATCCTTACTTTACTGGGGGCTCTGGTGTGACCTCAAGAATATTGTCACCCTGATTTCAAGTTTCCCCAGTCTTAAGACTATAGCTTTCTCTATCTTGCTAGCAGTTTTTTAATTGCTATTAATTGCTAATTTTTTTTGTCTATAAGGAATGAAAGCAATTTAGATTCTTTAACACACCCTTCAAAAAACCCCACCCAACCACAAAATCAAGTGAGATCTTAACACAGGCTAAGACAGCCATCAGACCAGGATAACTTGGGTTGGCTATAGTAGTTAACATTTATAGACAAGATCATAGTTGAACAAAAGGAGCTTATCCCAAGTTCCATCCGGAATTGGTCCATCCTCACTGTTATTTTAGGCAAATGCCAAAATACACTTGCCATTTTCTGGTGCACAGATGTATCTTTTGGACAATGATAAAATAGTGATATATGCATACAACTTTAACTTCTGTAAGGAGAAATAACATGTATTAGTTTAATTAATTTATTATCTTCTGATTTGGTTTAATCTGTATACTGGAGAATGGAAATAAACTATRGCTGCAGTCAGGATACTCCTTTCCTATATAAGTAAGGCTGACATAGCTCCAAGTCCTGACCTTGAACTCAGGACTTAGGTGCTTTGGAGYATGTGACCATGGGCATGCCTGGTTGTAGACCATAGGCATCCCAGGTTGCTGGGAGGTGCTGCCTGCCAGTTCCCTCTGCAAGGCTCAATGGAGAGGAAATGCTGACAGAGRTTTTGCATTTTATCATTTAGGCATRTGTGGCTTTTAGGCTACAGCAAGGCCACAAAGGAGATTTTGGAATCAATTCACTCAGACTCCATTTTCACTATCATGAATATTGCTGCTCACAGAGGATGAGCCATCAAGATTAAAAACAGGATGGTTACATACTGTACTTCCTTCTGGCTCTCAGCAACATTCACTTTTAATCTTTTCGAGTCATGAGAGCGCCTGAATCATGGCTGGCATTTTGCAAGGGCTGCTTTGACACACGTGGCCCTGCAAAGAAACATGGGTGTTTCCTTAAGGAAGCATTCATTTGCTCACAAGCATGCTGCTCTAAGAAGTGTTCTATCCTCACATTTTGCAAAATGTGATCTCCCTACGGCTATACAGAAGACTCATTGCCATTCCTTGAGATTACAGCAACAAGAGGGGCCATTCATATTCGTAGGAAGAATTACTAGAAATATCATCTGGTGCTGAAAAGCAATTTAAAAGGACAATAATGCTATTCCATGATGCAAAATAGTGTAATATCTGCTCTTCTGKCTGAAGGCTAACTCATGCAACCACATGACTATACATAACCTTCAGCTGCCTTGAAAAAGTAGCCTTTCATCAGCCTGGTTAAAGATCTGAAGCTGAAAAAACTGAACCCCTCCAGGCAAGATGGCAAATAGAGAAGAACCCTAAGTTATTATATGTTTTAAATAATCTTGTGACTTTGAGTGATYTTTGAATGATCTTTGAATGATCTTTGAATGTATGGCTTGGGCAATTTTGCATCTCCTAATTGCTCCTAAAGCTCTGTTGATAATCTCAGTGCCCAAGTATGAATTTTACCAGCAATCTCATTTTAAGAGAATTGTGTGGAAAAGCTGGTACCTTCCAGCATGTTTGCATAGGACCTGGCAGTAGGAGGCCTCACGTCCAATTGCACCCTGCAGAGCTGTAAATGCCATTTGAGCAAACGAAACAACAGACACTGCATCAAGGATCTTCTTTCCATCTCATGGTTCTTATTTTACTTTGTGGGGAACTGTTGGGTATAGAACTGAATAATATTGCAGTGAATGGCCTGCTGCTCAAATAACGGAAGCTGAGGTCTAGAGACTCTGAGTTTCTACATTCAGCTCTGCAAGATTTGAAAATGATTAAATCAGAATCAGCCAAACCATATTCCTTAGTTATGACTACTATTAATATCTAGTTTATTGCATAGCTCATAAGACACTCGGATCCAGACCCCTATAATATTACACATTGTATAATTGCAGAACAGGAAACTTGGCTGAATGCCCAGGGTGATTACTGCTGAATGACTCAAACAGTCATTTTTGGATACTTGGCTGGCAACACATTCTGGCAGTTTTCAGAAGTCCCAAGGGGAAGTAACTCTCAGCAGTAAGAACCAGGACTGCAGGTCCTCAGCATCTTTCAATATAAGACTTATGAAGTGAATGTATTCTAAGATCCCATGGACAGGGTTTCTGGTTGGCAATATTTTTTTTAAGGTCTATGGTCTGACAACTTGAATCCAAATTAACAGGGCCTAGCAAATATCCTAGATAATGAAGCTTGCAGCATTAACAAACATTCTGAAAATGTTGGTAGTTGTCCCTGTACTCATCAGAATGTAAAGTGAAACAGAACTCACCTATATGCTCCAAGGGGTTCATTAATCACTGCTCAATCTTTACAGTTAATATGATTTGTCCAAAATGCCTTAAGAATATTAATTAAAAAAATATGAAAGACCAATTTCTTCTCAGTTATATCATCCCATATAGTATCCAGGCTGTTACAATGAAACAACAGCAAACATGAAAAACACAACTAACAAATAAAACAGAAAAGCAGTGTGAATCCCAAACTGCTGCTATTTATTTTCACGACAGCACTAAGCAGTGCAACCATATGCTAAAAGTTGAGGAGCGAAGGCTTTTTACTAAACCTGCAAAACATAATGTAGGAAGCAGTGAGTATCATTACAGAGTCACTTCTTAATGGAAAGGTAGGTGATTACCACAATTTCCCAAGAGCTATAAACTACACCAACAAACCTTGCAAAAAAAATGTTTGCACTCCACTCTCCCTGGATMCTGCCATGCTAAGTCTGAAATCTATTGGAGGCTTTGGATTCAGTTGTTGAATTTGTATTCTTTTCCTTTTTCTTTCTTTCATTTAGGACACCAAGYCTATCTGAAATTGCGTTCCAGTTAATTTTGTTTCATTTCTTATCTGTACACAGAAAAGAGGACAGCATTTCTTGTTCAAATGCTGGGTATTTTGTTTCTGATTACCATGAAGCTAATTGTTCAGTATGTTTAGCCTCAGATATCTCATGCACTCAACTATTTATGCATTTTAATCCCTCACATTACAATGCCAACACAACACTGTTTGCAGTGCAGGAACATGAAATAGCTGTCTCTGCAGCTGRTGCTCCTTCACAGGTGCTCAGCAAAGAACAGCTGAAGAACTGGAGTTTATACAATGACTTGCCAGAGAGCCTTTGAAAGGTATCTTTTCCAGTAGATTTATATAACTTGCTTTCATATAGTTTGAGTTAAACATTCCAGGTTTTGAAAACAGAGGTCACAGAGCAAAATAACTGCTGTGTGAAATTAGCTGAATATGCTGTCACTCTGCCATGTACATTTTTGATAATAACAAGTCGGAAACCTCAGTGTGCTTCTCTCTCAATGCTACTGCCTTGCCCCTTCTCCTTAACACTAATGAGTTACCCTTTGGTATTGTTTTCATAAAAGGTCAAGTTGATCTTCAAAAGGAAAAAACAATGTCACTAGGTATATGGTTAACAAGAAAAATATTTATCTTATGGTTTCCTTTGATGAAAGTAACTAGTGATTTATAATACAAAASGAAGAGAAACTTATATTTAGAAAGCAGTGCTGTCATTTTTTTMAGCATCTTTAGCGTTGTCAGCAACATCTCTTGAATACTTGCCTGGTTTCCTCTCAGAAATGTTTGGTGGGTCTGACAAGCTTCGTGCCTACAAAGCTTTCTATAACCTGTATCTATCCTTTCCAAAAGAGAGGCAGAGTGTGCATTGCTCCTCCTATTTTATCTGTCACCTTCTCTCTAGTTTCAGAATTATTTGAAACCATTTCATCTGAAGAGAGCTGTAAAATAAGACTAAAAATAGCAAGGTAGATGCTGTCTCATGGTTAGTTTCATCAAAACTTGAGCACCAAGTGCAAAATGTATCCTATTTGCCATTTATGTCAGCAATTATGTATGTGATGCAGGATGTGGCTTCTAACATATCTGGTGCAATTTCAAGAGCTTGTATAGGTCTTCTATGCACCTTAAAAAGTCAATCATCCTTGTAAGGTAAGACACACAGCTGCAGGTGAGCCCCAGCTGCAGACATAAATATCCCTCAGAACAAGAAAAAGCAAGAAAGATGAGCATAAAAGCAGCTCTGAGGTCAACCCCTCTTCCTCTCCACCCTTTCCTGCCACCACAAAAAAGTGCAACTGTCTGATCTGAATGACAGAAGTGTTTTTCAGCCACTCCATTTTTGACAGAAAATAAGATTCTGTGATTTTCATGCCTGAGTTAGTTAGAGGAGAGGCACCAACAAAGTACAGCACCATCCATGAAGACTTCTTAGCCTTGGTGCTAAACAGTGTGGCAATAAAATACCAGTACCAGCTTTACGTAACTACATCACATTTTGTTTACATCACCATACCATCGATGGACCTGAATGGGGTAGGCTCTGTGAAAAATCTGGAGACTGAAGCTCATGCTCCTCTTATTTTAAAATAATAGCAAATAAAGTGGTATCTATACACCTTTGGTATTCTGTGAGATGAGTATTTTGGGTACAGCTAGAATTTCTAAATTAACCTCTAGCTGGTCTTAACAACAGTTCTTCAGTAAAACCAGAGGAAGAGAATATAGATAGAGTAGTAAAACTCTAATGCATTACTAAATAAATCATTGGTATTTTTATCTCTTGCAGAAACCACTGGAGAGTTGCCTGGAAGGGATGAGAATGTCAGACACTTCTCTGCTGACCTTGGAAAGCAGCCATGTGGGAYAGAAGGAATCACAGAACYRTAGAATGGTTTGGGTTGGAAGGGACATTAAAGGTCATCTCCTTCCAACACCCCTGCCATGAGCAAGGACAACTTCCACTAGGTCATGTTGCTCAAAGCCAGGGATGAGGCATCCACATCTTCTTCGGGCAACCCATTCCACTGTCTCTGAAAGAAGGAAATGAGTCAAAATCAACATGTCTGATGTAAGATGAAACATTTCCAATATCAACTAACTAAATAAAGAGTTCACAACTTATTCTTTTYCCTAGTAGGGAACTTATACCCATGCCAGTACACTAGTATAACAATTTTATCAAAAATGGCCAAAAATCTCCTCTCTAAAAATAAATGGGAATTCACCTTGACAAATAAAGCAAGTATTGAGTTCCATATAATTCATGCTTCAAAGTCTCAAAGGAGGCTTGACATATATCCAAGACCTTAAGATTCTCCAACTCTCTCTTCTTCGAATTCCTTATATAGTCAAGAATTTAGTTTACAAGAGTACAAGCACCTTCTYATGGTAAATTCAACAAAACAAGCAATCTTTGAACTCTGGCCTTATTTGTATCAGAGTGAATCTGAAACAACCCTGCTGTATTCTGCAAGTTCTTTCCAACCAACAAAATAAAAAAGAAGTCAGGCTCTGGAGCTCAGGACCCAGCCTGAGCTGGAAATGAGACAGATAAGTACTTTCAGCTCGAAAGAACAGCTCAATATACTGACAATTCAATCATCTTCACTTACTTCCTTGAATTGTCATCAAGCACTACATGGTGCTTATTTTAGTACTGGAACTTATTGCTGTAAGACACTTACGAGAAATTGCCCTTTTAATTTGTTTTATTTTCAGTTATAGTCCATATTGACAGGCCATTTTGCTCCTGCAGAAGCATAGAGCAGGAGCACTGCTTTTACCATGAACCTTCTTTTTTCTCTTTCTGGCAAGCATCCTAGATTTTGTAATTTAATATTCCTGCCAAAAGCACTGGAAACATTTGAGAGGATCCTCATGGGATTAAGGACAAACTGTGGATTACATTCCTGGCATTGGACTACACTGGAAGCCATAACTTTTTTTGCTGTCCGTGAATATTTGTGAGCTAACCAAATCAGAACACAGCAGAAGAGTAATTTGATGTTGTTTTACTCTTTCTTCTCAAACCATCCTATAAGGATCTTCTGCTCTTAGTCTAGGGAATGTGTTCAGGTCAAGCAGATGTGTTTCTGCTGATTAAAGTTWATGCTAATTAAACAAAGAGAGAGCAGGTTATGGTGTGAAAATGTGTACTAGAAAATGTGTACTTAGCCATGAATCCCACTCTTGCCTCCCAAACGTTAGGGGTCAGTGACATAAGGACAGCCACAGTGAATCAGACCAACTGTATAAGAAGCTGGGCTCCTTCCCTTGACAGTGGCTAATAATGGGTACTTTGGGAAAGAGTAAAAAAATAGGGCAAAATTGACCGTTCTTTTAATACACCCTACAATGAAATCTGTTAATTTGCTGTTCAGAGTCAGCCAGAGCCAGAAGCTCATTTAGCACCTATGCATTTAAAAGCCTTTCTATTATTTTCTTAGTTCCTTTTTTAAGCTCATTTGTACTCCTGGTCTCTGTGACACCCTGTGCCTCTCAGCCTCAGTTYATTTCAACTGTGCTATGTAAAAAGAACTTGCCTTTGCTTGGTTTAAGCCTGCTGCTTGGTAGTTTCCATAGGCACTGTGACTTCTTGCTCTGTGATAGAATAATCCCCTCCCTAATCACCCACAGAGCATATGCTGAATACCAGGTCATCAGCAGCAGAACCACAATCACCAGTGTGTGTTCCCACAATCCTCTCTGGGGGAGGGGCTTGATCTGCAAGTACAAAAGGAAATATAGAGACAAAGCAAAGAACATAAAGATAAAACATACATTTTATCTTTTGCCATCACCATACCCACAGATTAGAGAGAAAACTTTCAGAAGAAGAATTGCATTGAATCGCAGCAGTTTCTGACCTCACTAAATAACAACCAAAGCCTTCAGGGCTCCAAGTAGGTCTCTCTTGCAGAAAAAGCCCAGGGTTTTGTACTTTAAACAAAGAAATTGCTCAAACTAATGAGTGACAGTTAGAGCTCWCCTTCCAGCACTTCCAGAAGGGCTGGAAAACATGCTAGTGGAAAACATTTTTCAAGATCCAAATACCTCAGCATTAAACAAATCAATCAAATATAACAAACTGTTCAATGCAAGCTGTAACCTGCTACCTGAGTTTATGGAGAACTTKACAAAATTATTCAAGGAAGTATACAGTAAGCATTAAAACATATAAAATTCAGAATGGTTAAGTAATTTTTCTTTTACAAAGTGCAACTGAAATAACTAGACTTCAGATAACACAGACTTCAAATTAGCAAGAAATCAATTGGTATAAAAATTATMGGAATTAAAGAYCCTTGCCTATTTTTAATATTATAAGGTTATTTTTCAAGAAAGATGTCTGCTCTCTAAAATGCTTATGCTTTGATGAAGCCCTCGAAGGGATCCAGTAAATAATATCACTATAATTCTGWGACAAAACTGCCACAAAAATATAACAGGAATGAGCCACTATGTTTTAGAACAGTATCTTCCACAATTCCAYARTCTAATAGAGAGTATTAACACTGATACATGGTTTGAATTACCTAGAAAAATGTTACAGCACTAATAAAAAACCCTCRTTTTTCCGGTACATTGGACAGTTCAAATAATGCTCCCTGAGAGCTTAATATTGTAAGTCCAATATCACTTCTTATAGCTAAATAAAACAAATTAGATCATAATGATAAAGAAGGGTCACACTGATACCAGGGTGAGACAATGGAACAACTATTCAGCTAGAGCATCATGCCCATACCCTCCACTTTCCACAGTTAACAGATGAAGCCCTTTACCTGTTTGAGACCGTAAAACCTGATGGATTAAAGTCCATTTTAACATGTACTTTCTTACTGTTCAACTCAACTCTATMACCTACAAGACAGCCTACCTTAAGAATAAACAGAAGAAGGTAAGACCCTATGTCCCATGGTTTTCACAAGGCCCCTTGTTTTAAAAAATAAAGTCATTCTCTTACTTCTTCCTTTGATAGGTGAAAAGAGAATTTCTCCAAGGCCTCTTATTAAGAAATTTAGAGGGAGAAATTCTGTTTCTTCATGAAGCAGGTACTGTATTGGTGTAACAGGTCATGTCCTATGTTTGTGGAGAATGAGAAAGTCCAGAAGAGCAAAAAGGTTTTAACCTTGTGGGAGAGGAAGAGTTGCAGGAGTTTTACACAATAACAAGTAGAAAACAGCTCTTTCATGAAAAGCAGTCTCAGGACAAAAGCCATAAGGACTTGTGTTACCACAAGACACAGGACCCTAGGGGAAAACCAGTGATGAGCATGTGACAGTCTAGCCAGGGTTTTCAAGGCAGCTTTGAAGAACAGGGGAAGGAAGGCATCAGGACAGGACTCGGGGGTTTATTACACTGAAAAAGAATGAAACTGAAGAAGCACCCAGAAGGGGGAAATAATGCAGTGCTAAGATCCAGTATTGTCTAGGACATTCCATTTCATTTAAAAGCTGAAAAGACTATGAAATCCCACAGAACTCATGACACGGCATGCCCTGGCAAGAAGACCAGTTTTTATAAATAGACAGAAAAAGGAAGTCTAATGCTGAGACAGTGTGGTGGCCTGACAACATCCTACACCTTATCAGCATTTTTGAGATCTGTGAGCTGTACAGAGTAGAGGAGCTGTACAGGAAGTAGATTCTTGACAGACTCTAGTTATCAGTAAGAAATCGATTCTATGGTTTTCCATACACTGAAATCCACTTCAGTCTTTGCAACTCATACTACCCAAGGGCTCCCTTGSAGGAGTTCAGCCCACTTTGSAAAACTAACTTCCCTGCCTCTGCTRTTTGATCTSTTCAAAGTACCCCCAMCTRYAGCAGGCTTGCTCCACTTCTCCACTCTAGCACTCCTGCCTAGACTTCTCTCTGCAGACCTCAGGCTCTGGTAAGATATTTCCACTTTGGTGACATTGMCCCATCCACAGACCTAAACCCATGTGAGGTGAAAGATTAAGAAATCCAGGCAATGAGAGAAGTGAAAGCTGCGATTCAAAAGATGGTGATTCATTTTAGGCAAGGCTGCAATCTGAGTGCTGCCAAAACTTACTAACTAGCCTTTTAAGATGCTCCTTTTCAAACCAGACAGAAGAACTGGCAGTAACAAAACATTGTTCTTTGTTACTCTGAGTTTTGAGAGAAGAAAAAAATGCTGAAGGCAGTTGAGTTATTTTAGAAATCCGCTAGCCTCCTGATGAAGTTTCAGGCTGAGAAACACATGTATTTTCATGGATAAGCAGTGTGTTCCAGACACTTCCTTTGTATGAGGGGATGTGGTCACCATGCAAGGAGCTGAAGGGTTAAGATTYTCCACCCTGGTGCAGAGATGGCCATGATGGCATGGAAAGGAAAAACTCTTCCCTCTTCAGATATTCAAGAATAAGGAGCTATCAATGATGCTAAGAGAAGCTGTGTTCTAGGAAGGCCCCATGGACCACAATGCTCCTTGCCTGARGATTTTCTTGCTGCAAGAGAGACTGAACAAACATTTAGAAGAGAGATCTGTTGATAGTCACTAACTAGATCACATCAGGTTCAGGAAATCCCTAAAGTGAAAACACACCTAGTCTGGGAACATATCTAGCTAAAGTATTGTRGCTTATTCCTCTACTTCCCTGGCATCTTGCTTTTGGATCTGGCTTGCTTTTAGTCAGGTCAGATAGATCTGGTAATTGAATAATGGCCATGGCAAAACCTGTATTTAGAATTACAAGCTAACAGCATGAGCAAAGAATATCTCTTACTTGACAGTAAATTATGGACTGAAAAGGCTTTATCATTAGTTTTCTGGAACTAATGCAGGAAAAACATTATATCTTCTTTTTCAACAAACTCCTGCCTGACCTTATCCCTGCAGGACAGTATAAGGGTCAGATAAAGATCATATATGAAGCAGTGTGTTCTACCAGATGGTAAATCAGTCCCACAGCACCAGGTTAGAAATGCCTGAGCTAGGGATCACCATGAGTCCTCAACTGCCAGCTTTAAAATGACCACAAAAGTCCTCCTGTGTACTGTCCACAATGCTTAACATTGGTAACCCTCCTTGTCAGCAAGAGTAAGCTCAGAACCTTTTCCCATGGAAATTACTTTTCTGTCCTAAATTCCCCTGTTGATTCTCAGCATAGGCATCACAACCCTCCCTACCACTAGTCTTTCTGCTAATCCTGTGGTGGGTGGTGGCACCCAGCTACTTCCTTCCTAAGAATTCTATTTCAATAACCCTAATTATTAAAAACCCTAAAGAATACTATATAACATTCAGTTATATGTGTCTTACAGAAATCTGATAGGCAAGTGTAATTTGAGAGGCTTTCTGAATCAAAAATCTTGAAAACTGCAGTAAGGTTGACAAAAGAAGCATGAACAAATTATAAAATATTGGTGTGAATATGCTTTAGTCCAGTTTATTACAGATGAACTAGAACCTAATGACATAGCTTTCATTGTCCCACCATGCCACGAAAATGTTATGGACACACAAAATACTAAAGATAGCACTGCAGTTCTTTTAACTCAAGTTGCTGCAGTTACAGAGAAAAGTTTTAGCATCTCTCTTGCAAAAATGAGAAAGATCTTATCTTACACCATGATAAAATCTGTAGTTCTTTCTGACACYCCTGGAAGCAAAGCTTCTTGATGAGCATTACTGAACTTAGGGGAGAATAAGCACATGATTTTAAATCTACAAATTTGAAGTTCAGTTCTGTAGTTATACAATAGCTTTTCAAAGACTATAAATCTCYGGAGGTACATAAAGCTGCCCAGACAGTAAAAAAGTTTCAGTTATACTACCACAATGTATGTCTGTTACTCAGAAATAGCTGCAGACACAACTCTCTTAAGACTTGTGAGCTAACTCACTAGTCTTCTAGCTTAACCATAAAAAAGTATCTATTACTCCAGGGCAGACAGAAGGGTGTGTGTTTTGGCTTCTGGATGGACTTTCATAACAGTAAACATTACATTTAGTGTGTATAAACAGCTACAGGGGCTGCAAGAAAAGAAAAATTATCGTGACACTAGGACAGGGGAGTAATGTGTTCAACCTGGATCTTAGCACAAGAAAAGAATTCTCTCCAACAGATCACTTCTGCTCATTCTTTCCCTTTCCTTGGAAACCTGGCAGAGAGGTCACACTTCAGCTTTTTAGCCTGGATGAAGTCACATATGCAATAGCYATGGTTGGGAAAATTCCTGATGTTTTATGAAGATGATGCTATGTAACAGCAAATCTGAAGGCACAGCTCAAGCAAGATACAGAGGAAGTGGGAAAACAATGGACAAATCTCTAATCACAGGGAAGATGTAATACCTGACTGGAGTGCTGGCACATTTCCAGAGGAGACTGCATGCAAGCCCATTTTGGGGCCTGGTTATTAGTGCAACCTCTACATTTCACTTTTCCACTTCTCTTTTATTAACTACACAAAGGTCAATAGTGGAAGAAAGGTTTTCCTAAGGCACTTCATAACTCACCTTCCAGGAGGTAGCCTGAAGGAGTTCCACCATCTTCTTGTTTCATAGTYATCCTTCCCTTCCTTCATTCTTACTCAGGAGAATCAATCCTGCATTTAAAAAAGCAAAGAAAAAAAGGAGGATTCCTATGAATCTGCCATCCAGACAAATTACAGAGATGACAGATGCAGAAGGAAAGGTTTTCATCTTCCTCTTACAACCTTCACATCGCCTACTGTTTCAACTCAGTCACCAAAGCTTTTACTTCTCTCTCAATATTATCATACTGAGATAATAACTTAATTCAACTTGTACTGTCATGCAAAACCTTTGAGATGACCTCTGTTAAACAAGAGTACTTGTCTAACTTTGCAAGCCCTCAAAATCTTTTTGAAGTTACAATCAATGCTTTGTGTGATAAACTGGATGAAAACGGCTCTTTTAACTGCAGAAATAACAGAAATGCCAACTTGATGGGGAATTTTTTCTGTTCTCAATGCATCCTTTTCTTCCCAGTTTCTGATAAGCAACTGCATTCATTTAGTATTCAAAATAAAAGTATCAAACAGCCTCAATAAAAGCATGTGCCTGTCTCAGTCTGAATCAGACCTGATCATGCTTTGCTACCTTAGAATATGCTCTTGCCAGTCTTGTTAGTCTCTAGTTCTTTTGGTAATATAATGTTTATGCATAAATTCTCATTAAAAACAAAAAAAAAAACAACCAAGGTAAATGGCACCTAAAAATTAGCAGCAGTAGAGAAACTTCAGAGCTGTCTTCAAAGTACAGGAAAAAAAAGACAAAGAAGGAGACATAACATTTAAAGTATTCTTTTGTTCATAGAGGTCACCTTACATAAAACTATAGACAGAAGTTTAGTTCTTCAAATCTACTTGAAATCACTGTAGCTCTACAGCTTCCTCTAGAATCAGACTAATTTGCATCAGTAGAGGTTTTTCCTACAAAGCAAATCTAAATGGCTTCAATGTCACTGAAAACAAAGCCTACCACAAGACCCTCACTACACAACACATACAGGTATGAAAAYGGATGACACATTAAGAAACAAAATATTCAAAGTCATTTCTCCATGCACATTTTCAGTCAGACTTTAAAAACTGACATGGAGATTCCAAAGGAGGTGAAAATCTTGGAATTTCACCTAGGCCTCTAAAAAAGCACCAGGTACATTTCCTCAGAGTCAATTCTTGTTCAAGCAAATACTCTTGTTCAAGACCAATTCCAGGTTTTCCATTTGGGCATAAGCTAAACTCTGGGAGCCTTATTTCCTCTTCCATTAGTATTTCCACAGAAAGGCCCACCCTACACACCACCAGTATGCATTTAAAATGCAGACCAAAATGTGAGCTGTCATTTTCTTGCCTCATATCACTGCTAAGCGCTCACTCTCATCAGTACTTAGCTGACATTTCAACCTTAATGTGCTACCACAGAGGAGGTCCTCACAAGGATTTAGAACAGAAACAGTCACTCCTCCTCACCAACAACAGTGAGTGAAGCCCGACAAATCCCAGTCTGTAAAGCAGTCATGCTTCTAAGCTTCAGCAGCAAGAGCAAGACACTGACCTGACAATGTGGAAATGCAAAGGAAGCAAAGGAAATCCTCACCAGATTCTTCCTGGTGGGGGTTGTGGAGTGCTGAAGCAGGAGCCCAGGCAAAATGAGGAAAGACGTTTTCCAACTGCAGCTGGAGAAGGAAGGCCTTGCACAACCTCATCCAGCCTGGGAATGATGGACCCCTGGGGTTGGACTAGAGACCTCCAGATGTCCCATCCAGCTGAATTAACAGATGTTAYTAATGAAAGATTGCATTCAACCTAGTACAAAAAAAAAAAAAAATCACCATCACACTAAATCAGCGTGAATGCATTTTATATGTCTTGGCCCTGACAATTATGTGTTTTTAACAGTGTCTAAAAAAAACCTATTGAAAGAGCAGAGCTTTACTACAGTAAATAGCCTGGAACTGCGCAATGCGTATTGTTTATCAGGAAAACGTTTAGATAAATCCAGTARACACAATTCAAGAAGAAATGAGCTMTCACTGCCAGCCCTGGATRYAGAACTRTGGAAAGATTTGCTTAGAGCAGCCAAAACCCCCTAAGACGATAGTACCCTTCTGCCTCAGCCACAGACCTCTCTCAACACTCCCTCCTTCAGTCCTACCTCCAGGGGATACAGTTTCCGGGCTCATCAGGATCCTGTTCCCCAGCTGATGGCAGAAGAGAGCCGAGCTCAGAGATCTTCTGTTCCTTCTTGCAGAGCTTCAGCAGCTTCACAGCATCCTCTGCTGCCGAAGAGCAGAATCAGATCAGAWATGAGAATATGGACTATGCCTTAGAGCAAACGTTATCCCTTTATACAGATAGACACCCCCCACCAAAATACCTTGTAGTGAAAAGAGGCAGATAACAATAGTTATTATCTCAGGTCCATAGTAGGAATTAATCTCCACACTTTCCACAGAGCCACCCTTGAAACTGATCTACTCTTAGGTACTACTGATGKAAATCCTAAAATAYCAGGTCACTGTTTCCAAGGAACAGTYCCACCAAAGTGCAATCCTTGCAGGGCKGAGCCATTTTTGTGCTATGCAGTACCTTTCAACATCTGGCTTTTCACAGACCTTCTCTTTACTATTCTGAATTCTTATGTTCAGAGAATCACAGGCTGGGTAGGTTGGAAGGGGTCACAGTGGATCATCTGGTCCAACCTCCCTGCTCAAGCASRGTCATCCCAGAGCACATGGCACAGGATTGCATCCAGACAGTTCTTGAGTATCTCCAGYGAGGGAGACTTCACAAYCTCTCTGGGCAGCCTGTTCCAGTGCAGTCACCTGCACAGTAAAGAAGTTCYTCCTCAYGTTSARGTGGMACKTTTTGTGYCTAAGTTTCTGCTCGATGCYTTCTTGTTCCATTGCTTGGCACCACTGAGCAGAGCCGGGCTCCATCCTCCTGACACCTTCCCTCAGCTRCTCACAGACACTGGCAAGGTCCCCTCTCAGTCATATCTTCTCAAGCTGAACAGCCCCAGCTCCCTCAGTCTTTCCTCATAGAAGAGATGAGGACTCCRGKMCYT